AACTCTCTTGGGAGTTTGTGATCCATGTGAGAGTCTTTATCTTACATGAGGATGTATTAGCCATAAAAGTGGAGATATATGTGTGGGGAAAACCGTTTATTTGAATAAAACTCTATATGCTCATTTATGGTAATACACCGTCATTAAAGATGGTTCTAACGTTAATGTGTATATGATGAAGAATATGTTATGTGTGGTTTGTTTATGATAATGGTTATGTTGTGTGATAATGATGGTGTGTGAGATATTTATGGTCATAAGCATAAATGAGTATGTTGTAAGTGGTTGATTGTTATAAACATGTCCAGGTATGTTGTAACAATGAATGTGTGATGAATTGTGAATGTGTTAAAATGGAATGAGTATGTTTATTAAAATGAGTATGTTGTGAGTAGTTGATTGTTATAAACATGTATGGGTGTGTTGTAACAATGAATGTGTGATGAGCTGTGAATGTGTTAAAATGGATAAAGGTATGTTTCTGACAATGAAGATGTTGTATGTTATTTATGGTGATAAAATAATGAGATGCCTTGTGTTGACTGTGTATGACATGGATGTGAGTGTAATGTGGAAACTCGACCTGCCCGAGGTGGTATGGGGATTACTCGACCTACCCGATGGGGTATGGTGATTATTTGTACGGTGCAGATTTGTTGAATGAGATCAAGGGTAAATTATTATTGAATGTGAAGGATGTGAAAAGTGTATACTCGGAATGAAAATCATATGCATGCCATAGGATATATATTATGGGATGTATATCCTATAGGGTGAATATGGATAATACGCGATAAGTAAATATGCACACTATAGAACACATATAGTATGGGATGTATGTGTACTATAGGGTGAATATGGATAAAATACGATGAATAAGTATGCACACTATAGAACACATATAGTATGGGATGTATGTGTACTATAGGGTGAATATGGATAAAATGCGATGAATAAGTATGCACACTATAGAACACATATAGTATGGGATATATGTGTACTATAGGGTGAATATGGATAATATGTGTTGATTGATATATACATATCATGATTGATGTTAAATGTGTGTGGTTTTAATACTTTAATGTCATTACTCCATGTAAATCCACGCTACGGTCGCCGTAGTTGGTTCTTACTCCCTCTATCTTTCCTTGTATGTGTTGTATATTTTGGTTCAGGTTGTGGAGGTAGCGCATTGGACGCTTGCGGAGAAGAGTACATGATAGAGTAGTGGATAATATGTAATTGATATGTTATATGATAAATATTTGTAATATGAAGAACATGTTAAAGTGAAATTCATGTATAAACAATTTTCTTGTAAGTGTATAATGAAGTGGATCTAATGTTTGTATTCAAGGTAAATTTTGAGAAAATGTAATTGTATAAAGGGTGTATTTGATCGGAAGTGTAATGACATGCTTTTGAAATGAAGGGTGTTTGAAATATTTTCGCCTTGTAGATTTATAAACGTATTCACTCAAGTTTCCAAACTGTTCGAGTAATGTCTTTCAAAAGTAATCACTTCACTTTCACGAATAAGGATTTTAAAAGATAATTTTCGAGTTTTTAAAATCGGGTCCTTACAAATGGAACTTCTCCTAAAGTGTATAATGAAGTTGATTTAATATTTGTAATTAAAAGAATTCTTTGTTAAAGGGTAATTGGTTAGATTATGTATTTGAAAGGAAGTGCAATGACATGCTTTTGAAATGAAATGTATTTGGAATATTTCCGCCTTGTAATTTATAAATGTATTCACTCAAGTTTCCAAATCGTTCAAGTAATGTCTTTCAAAAGTAATCACTTCACTTTCATGAATAAGGTTTTAAAAAGAATTTTTGGATTACGAAAACCGGGTCCTTACAATGGATTCTCACAGTGGTGATGATGTGACCCCACAATGTCAAAAAAGGACTTCACATGGAATAAAGGTTAAATGGAATGAAAAATGCCAACCATTAAATATGAAGGGTTGCTGTAAGTGTTAGATGGCAACTAAGAGAGTGGTGAATTAGTTGACTAGTTTTTATGACCAATTTTTATGCTTATAAAATCAGATTTTAATTTGTTGCAGTAGCAATAGTGCGTAAAAATCACCAAATAAATATAGAAAATTAGGAAAATAAAGAGAAGAGAGAAGGTACACCGATGTATTTATATTGGTTCACCTTCTTGTCCATCGAAGGCTACGTCTAGTACTCTTGTAGCACAATATATTTTTTTACTAGATATTATGAGTAACAATTACAAAATCTCTCCCCGAAACTTCTTATACATCACTCACTCACTAATACCTCTCACCCTAGGAAAACAATCTTTTTGGTGGTTTTTCACAACCACCTCCTAGTTAGTCTAGCTTACAGTGTCTTGTGTTGTCCTAGTTAGGTTATGAGTTAGGAGTTTATGGTTTGTTTATTTTGGTAATTGCGGTGTAATCTCTTAATTTGTCATATTATACTTTAAATTATACTCGCATGACATTCTTAATTGTACTTTTATGATTACTTGGATACTATTTAATTTGATTATCCTTGCTTTGTAATTTGTTGATCAATGAATGAATATTTGTTTCTGGATCTTTCGCATTGATCTCACTGCCCTAAATCTATTTATCATGACCTAGATAATATTGTACATTGAATTATGCAATTAAATGTAATTTGAAGTGAATTCTGGAATAACAGTACATTTAATCGATTAATAACAGACATAATCGATAAACACCCGTCCAAAATTCACGTCTGTGTAAAACTTAAGCATTTTAATCGATAAAATGTAGACTTAATCGATTAAGTGTAGTTCAGTGCTCATTGTTTCAAATTTTTAGAAACTCCTTAATCTATTAATAATTTGTTTAATCCATTAAGACAATAAAATTTGTTATCTTTCCGTACTTTTGGCTATATTCTTCATGTTTTATCATTACTTTTTGGTCATTACAAAAGGGTGAGATGTTGTTAGAGTTTTTTAGGATTGTTGAAAATTCATACATTCATTGCTTCCGCAAAGAAAGAGAACCTTAACCTATAAGCTAACCTTATGCATAGATTGAAGAGGAGAGTAGAGTGAGGGGGAGCAACTCACCAAGTTCACAACAAATTCAAAACAAGTTGACAATCATCGAGCCATTCAAACAAGTGTACACAAGTGTTTGTCATCATCAAAAAGGGGGAGATTGAGATTGCAAGTATGCATCGTCACAAAGTTTTTATGAAGACAAGGATAGTAGGCAAGCTTGAAGACAAGGACAACTCAACAAACAACAAAATCAAGGCTCAAGTTCAATCAAGAGGACTTAGGTTAAGTTTTTATATTTCTAGAGTCTTAAGATGATTGATTGGTAGAGTCTAGGCTAGGTGAACATTGAATGGAAGTCTCACAATCCTAAAATTAAATCAACTTAAAATGTGCCTTGCATGCATTCATACATGATTAACATGTCATGCATTTAAATATAGTAACATGATTTTGGTGCAGTGAACCTGGTTTATAACTTACATCTTTGAAAATCATGAGTCATGCATATACACATCATGTAGAAGGTCCATTGTGTGAAGAAGATCTGCCTACTGACCTTGGCACGGTTTTGATGAAGAAACCAACATCGCAAAAAGAAGAAAAAAGAATAATACTTATGAAGACAATGAAGATAAAGGCTTCAAGATATTTTAGAGCCTAAGTCATAGGTACTTATATCCTTACACTCTTTAAGTTATACTATTAGTTATAGTATGTATATTTTGAAAGAAAAACAAGATGCATAAGTTTTAATAAAAATAATTTTCAAAACACTAAGTAACAGGTTACTGGATCTGAGTAACAGGTTACTATGATTGAGTAAAATATTATTGGACACACGTAACAGGTTAAATGAGTGAGAAACAAATTAACTAACAAAAACTGACACACATTAATCGATTACTGCTATCAGTGTAACCGATTACTCAATTGATAATTAATCACTCAGTTGGACAGTAGGCTTAGGTAATCAATTACAGAGAGTCGTTACAACTAGAGTAACCGATTACTCAACATGAAAATTGGTTTCCAAGTTGAACATAACACTTGGGTAATCGATTACCCACATGCTGTATTCG